TTTGCTTTGCTTTGCTTTGCTTTGCTTTGCTTTGCTTTGCTTTGCTTTGCTTTGTACCTTTTTATTAATCTATCCTTCTTTTTCGAATTGCCTACTTTCATTCGCTTCCTCTCTCCCATCTTGCCATCAATTGCTCCCTCAATGCCTTTCTCTGTTATTGACCCTTATCATCTATTTACAAATCCCATCCATCTTCTTCTTTCCTTCCTTCCCTTTCTCTCATTCATCTATCCTACCATCCCATCTATCTTTTTTTATCTTCCTTTCTCACTAACTTCCTCTCTCTTTCTCATTATTTTCTGATTCCCACCCATCTTTTCTTCTTTCCATTCAGTCTTCATCCACCTTACCAGACACCGTCCTTAACCCTTGCAAATCTTCACCCATAAATCAAGGTGTGCATTTTACGAAAATTAAATTCGAATTAATAAAAAACAATTGAATATATATATATTTTAATTCCCCAGCCTCCCACAGCACGTGGATAGTTCTGCATCCCAAGTGATCCCAAAACTAGAGGCCGAATCTGTAGAAGACTTTGGCAGTGATGATGGTGGTGCACCCATGAAACGAGGAGGGTCGGAGAGAAGAAGCTTTTTACAGAGATACAGAAAAATACGAAAACGAGACAGTAGAGATCCTCTTGGTTCGAATGCCGACATGACGGGTGAGTTTGGACCAAACAAATACTAATGATATGCATATTGTTGATGTGGATTATTTAGCTTCATAAAAAAAATCTTGACGTTCAGTAAATTCCTTGGTGTAACTGTTTTCGGCAAACACGTATTTCTAACAAATAACAACAAGGGAAAGAAAGAAAGAAAAGAAGCAAAGAAACTTCTTGTTCTAGTGTCATACAATTTGTTCATTTTTTCCAACCGAGATGCTAACGTTCAAGTCTCCTTTCGGCTCCCTCCTTCCCCCAGCCCCCCTACCTTTCTTTTACTTTCTTTTACACTCGGAAGCATTACCGCTGACCATTCTTTTTTGTGGCTTTGTCAACAGGTGGTTCTTGTAAAGTCGTCTATTACGAAATATTAAGCAAACTCACGTGACGCTTGCGCCTGTTCTGAGACAGAAGCACCGCTGAACAACACGTTTGCGGGCATTTATCAAGAAACACATACCGTTGCGTAGACTTTTTGTTTGACTGTGGATGACCTTGACTAACCAGGTCTGAGGAACGATTATTTTGAATTTTAAAAGGAAAATCTTAAGGTATTTTATCAGTAGCAGATCAGTAGGTAGGTTCCGGGGGGTAAGGGTGCTACTTTTTTATTATTTTCTTATATATATTAACTGAGCATCATGACTCCCCCTTTTGATAATCGGTGACATGTGTACATATAAAAGGAAGTTAAACTAGAAGATTATAGTAATATAGTATCGTCCCTGACAATGTTTGGTCAATATCCTTGGTAGTTGTTAAGCAACACTGTTTTAGATATAGCAAAATTAAATATTTCTAATATTTTATAAATATTTTTTTTAAGTTATAGCAATTCAGTTTAAAATATTTTAGAATAGTAAATAACACGAAAAATAAATTACTTAATTTTCTATGGCAATAACATTAGAAACAAATGACCAAAATTTTGAAGAATTTTTTTGGTTTGCAATTATGATCGATATTCGATCCGTTCGCGTTAGTGTAATGTTATAAAGACAAAAATACTTAAGGTCGGTAATGTCCGAATTATTTTTAACATTTTGCTTGCTCCTGGTTTGTATTGACGTGCAGCATATTTCTATCTCATCTCAATCTGGAAAACAAATAAAAACTCCACGTTTGATATGTCACACTTTTAGCATAAAATCTAGGCTTCCAGCTGAATAGAAACTATCAAAACTTGTCCAACTCTCAAGGGAACAAGTAGACATGGACTGCTTCGAAGATATGGCGGCCATCTTGGATCGCAATGCATTATGGTGCATCCAGGGGGCAAATATAACTTTGTTACAGTAATGACGTCGATTAATATTAACAGCTCACCACCTTAGAAAGAGAAACACACGAAACTCTATATATTTTTCATTATCTTTGTTTTGTTTTGCCACCTGGCAAGAGTGGCCGCCATATTTTCGAACTAGTCCATTGAGTGGCTATCTGACTAGCCTTTTATTCAACGTCATTTTAATGTCCTACACATTTAGTTGGTCAGGGAATAGTTAACGCAATAGATGCTTGTAGTCAGTCGATTGGTATATAGTGGCATACCAACCCTCAGTCTAGGCGAGATCGTTTTTGATAACACTAATAATATTTACTATTAGTATTTTTACACAAGTGAATATAAAAAAATCAGGCGCGCTGAGTAGTCACAATTTACGTCTTATGCTGATATATTCGCCTACAGGTGAATATAACACTCACGCGCACGCTCGTTTGTCGATTTGTGCTGCTTGCACAAATTTGAACAAAAAAAACTCTGTCTCTGCGTTATTTATTAAGTTCCTTTGTGCTAAAAAAAAATAGTTTCCGCTCCATCAATAATCTGCACTTTGACTCAGTGATTGATGTCAGTCAATTTGAGATCCTTTTTGATAACTCAACAGTCTACAAAGAAAACTGATATAGATGAAGGAAACAAAAGCCACGCCCAGGGACTAACTTCACAGAGAGAAAAGTTTTTGGAGTGAAAAGGCAATCCAGACTGTCGTTAGTATAGAATTATAAATAGAAAATGGAACATGAAAAGCGAAAGGGAATGATTGTGAGGAAGCTTCGCCAAGTAATATGATATGTCGTCATAACCAAAGAAAAAGCTCGTGATGAGAATCTTTGGTAACCTGGGTTCCAGAGGTTCTCTCGTTTCATTGCTTCTCGGTCTCTCGCGATAACTAAACCTACGACCAAGAAAAACTGGAGCGAAAGATCTTCTGGAACACAGGGTAGCTTCATGGGGGTGATGATAAGAAAGCAGCTTTGATTCCTCTTGTTAAAAAACACAAAAACAAAACAACAACAAAACCAAAGAAAACAAACAAACAAACAAACGAAACTAAGTCTAGTATTTGTAAACGGTTTAATAGGCACTGTTACTGTTGTAATTTTAAGTTTATAAGAAAATGAATTATTATTATTATTTTTTGGTTAATAAAATCGAAAAGAACATGATATTTGTTTGTTACGTAACGAAGGATTGATTTGGTTGATGAATGTCTGTCGCGTCCTTCACGCTTACTTTCCAAGATTCTGGGAAAAAAAATACGAAAATGTATCATGATTAGCATATCTATCTCAAACCTGGTTCACGCAAGCTGGAAAAATATGGACATAAACAAAACGAGAGTTGAAACTATTTCGTTTTCTTGTGCTTGCGTTTGCATTTACATTTGCATTTTCAACATGTGCACCAGTGAAAAAGCTAACGGCAAAACCAGCGATTATTTGATGTAAACAAATACTATTGCTGTATCTTAAGGCGCGATTACACGGAGCAATTTCCTCCATAACATTTCTATTCCCTCCATAACAGATCTCGCAACGGCGTTGCAACACAAGTTGCATGGAGCATTGTAGCGTGTAACCAACAGCGCAATTCAAAAGTAGAAGTTGTTTCTTATTTTGGCAATTATTGCGTCTCGGTTGCACTATTGCAATAGGCCCTTTGCAGTTAACGGTCACGTGTCTGTACTGGAGGGCAAAATTTATGTTTTTATATTAAATTGGTGATTCTTTTTAGCTACTTGTAAAGAACTGAATGAAAAGATGTGTATCCAGTGTGTTACGAAATGCAGTTTTATCACGATCTCTCAAAACAGGTTGTAACTGAAAAGTTTGCTTGCTCTCCATTAAATTTCATCCATGGGAACCAAGATGTTCATTCATTTGCTCTCAGTGAATTAATGAGCACGTGATTGCTTAGCTGCAACGGGCCTACTGTGTCGCAACGCTGATGCGCGACAAGTTGCAGAGAAAATGGATCCGTGTAACCGCGCCTTTAATTGTCTTGCATTTGTCTTGCGGCTTCCGTTTACATTTGTGTTGCTTGGGTGAACCAGGCTTTAGATATGAAGAAAAACATTTACTAACCAGAATGCGTGCGCAAAATAACTAACGAAACGGACAAAAATATATCACTTCTTAGTCACATGGCCATTTTGTTGTCTTTCTGCACTTTGTACAAAACGAGAAAAGGCTAATACGTTTGGCCATTTTGTTAGTATAAACATCAAAAATGGAAGTGAAAAGTAAGTACATTTATAGCAATATTGCGCCAACTCAGTAGTTGCTTGCTGAAATATTTGGTTTTACTACAGTTAATCAAATGCAATAAATTGTATCTAACATTTTTGATTGGCGGCAAGAAAAAAATTCCAACGGGAAACTCGCAGCTACAGAGTTTGCGTAATCATAGTAACAAACAAACAATAATGCAAAGCGAAAACCTTCGAATAGTTCCCTTTACAGTTCCCTGCGCCATCTTGAAAGGTAGCCGTGCCTTTGCATCGAAGCGAGACGAACAGTGAGCTTGCAATGATAGAGACATGTAAATAATTGTCCAAGGTGTTAAAAAAGCTCACCGTTCGTCTCGCTTCGATGCAAAGGCACGGCTACCTTTCAAGATGGCGCAGGGAACTGGGAAGGGGACTATTAAAGCAATCAAATGTTCTTTTTTAATGTCCTGAAGATGGATGCTTAGTCCGAAAGCTCGACAAAAGAAATCATGAAGTGACAAATATTAATAAAACAATCAAGTTTAGTTTTGCCTTACTCTAACGCAGCATCCACCACAGCATATCTGGCTTGGCAAGCAGTCAGAATCCACGTTGCAGTTGGGATCGAGGCATAAAATCTTGGGGCAGATACGAGGCTTTTCTATAGAAGATAAGGACACAATAAAAATGTTTTATACTAGAAGAAGTTCAGCCAGCTGATCTGAATTAGTGACGTAGAAACGAAGCCTGCGAAAATTGTCTAAAAATAAATAAAAACATGCCCGGCATTGAAAATATATAAAAATATAACACATCGTGCGTTTTTTGTGCCTTAATAAAGAAAAGGGGGCTTTTCGACACTTTTCGAGTGTAATCTTTTGACCTGCAAGGTCTTCTATCCAAATTTAACATTAAAAGTATCCCGAAATTTCATGTTTTGTACTTGTTTGTTAAAGCTTTTTTAGCTGCATGTTTCATTTGTGAGGGTGAAGTGGTTTTCTTGTGTGATATTAGATGCTTTATTGGCTAAATTTAAGCCTAGTGGTTCTTAATCCACTGGCTCTTTTTGGTGCGCTTTTTACTGTACTAGACTTAATAACGGCGCGTTTATCCTGAAAGGGTTTGGGACAAAGTTAGCCCCCTTCGATCCTCCTTCTGCGAATTGCCCACTTCCGAGACATGTTTCACATGTCACACACAAAGGTTTCAATGCGAGGCTTTCGTGCATAATGCTTAGTGATTCGTGAGAGGAGAAAAGAATAAATTTAATTGCAAGGCAATTAATGGCAAGCGAAGAATATCTCGAAAGTGGGCTATTCCCAGACACGCCGCGACCAAGAACAGCTTGCCACCTCTGGGGTGCAAACAGCTCAAAATATAGAACTCTTCTCGGAATTGGCTACTAGTTTATAGTACCCAATCACGACTAACCTGGATCTGCGCATATCTTCCCGCAGGCTTGAGGACAACATTTTTCTTTTCCTTTACAATCACTGTCAGTAACGCACTGGGGTCCAAGTATATCGATGCAAATGTTGAGGAGGTGGTTTGGACAAACACCGTGCTTCACCTTACTAGGTTGAGCTGAGAAATTAAGGGATTTTAGTAATTTTAATTTAGCTAATTAAGCGCTTTTGCAGCGACTCATTTTTCTTTTGGGAGATTCAGGATGAATTTTATTTGCCTGTTTTATTTCCTGTTCCAAACTACAGTTGTATAAAGAAATGTGTTCCCCCCTTAAATCTTACGACTCCCCCCTTCTATTTCCCCAGGTGGTAAATTAACGACAGGTCCCCAAATAAGACAAACGTACCTAGTGTTACCGTGGAGTCATCACATGACTGTAAATCAAGCAAATAAAATATGAGTCATTCATATTTAAAGCAATCATCCAAAATCGTATATAAATAGGTCATTACGCAATCTAAGAGTTCTATTAGAATCATTAGCGACGTGACTTTATCTACTTTATTACTACTTGATCATGATTGAGCATGAAGAGCAATGTTTGCCCTTCGATTTCACTAAAGAATACGAATAAGAATAAGAATCATGAGATTCATTTTGCCTTTTGACAAAAAGACATTTTCATACTCTGCTGGTCATGGAACTTTAAGGGGTGTCGTGGCGCTAAAGCACGACAAATTTCAGTGTTCATAAACTTAGAATGACCACAGTAAATCCGTGAAACTTTATTAATACTAAATAGCACAATTTCATGCAAATTCCATTGTTTTCTATTGTTTAACTAGCACTATTTTGTACTATTTAATAATTAGTGTTTCACGGATTTGCTGTGGCCACTCTATAAGTAAAGATTTGAAGTAGATGTTAGTCCAGAGATCTTCATTAGTAGAGTACAAACACTATAAGTGTGTAACATAAATACCACTAAATACTGCTCAATTATGCTAATCCTAGTTTTGCACACTTTTAGTGTTTGTACTCTACTATTTACCGATAAATTCTAATATAGAAAGTTATTATATGAACTTAATGTTTTCACTAATTAATCAAAGTATAGCGACTCATTCACCCGGTTACTGAATTGTTGACGTCCTTAGGATATTGGAACAGAAAATATTAAATCTCAAATAAAAAACGACTAAATTATGAATCAAGGTTTGCAATTGAAATGTTTAATTGGATTAGAGAAAGAAATAAATGAATATAGATATGTAAATACATAGATAAAAATATAGATAGATATAAGAATAAATATATAAATACACCCTTTTTTATTGCAAGAACTCTGACGAACAAAAATGAAAAATAACAGACGTAAATCAATTATAAATTATTTTCTGAATAATAGTAATATTCAAAATGTCATTCTATACCTTCAAAACAATGAAATAATTACACCAGTTTTGCTTTAAATGATAAACTGGCTCCCATTTGTTTGTTTTGTGTTTTTTTTTTTGTTTTGTTTTGTTTTGTTTTTGTTTTTGTTTTTTTGTTTTGTTTTGTTTTGTTTTTTTTGTTTTGTTTTTAATATGAAAATGTTCTTACGATTATGTGTGTATTCATAAATTGACTATATAGATATATTAATAGATATATAAATATATGGATAAATATACAAATATACATACACTACCCCCCTCTTTCCTTCGCAAAAAGTTTAACCCCTTTAACAACCCCTTTGAAATTCAATTCAAAACATTAATTCTTACCATTAGAATGAGGATGATGACTACAGTCACAACGGCAGTATTCTTCATTGTTCTCTTTTTCTTGTGCTTTTGCTATAGACTGCACGGTTATTCAATTAATGTTAGGTTTTCGTTATTTGCAAAGAATTAAATAATATGACCTGCCAGCATTGACTCAATAGACTATCGATCGATTGTTTAGTTATATATAACACTGACGTGTCGACTCTTAGTTGCTTGGTTTCAATCAGCTGATAAAAGTCTTTGAATCTCATATTAAAGGGCCACTTGGACGAAAATCGCTCCAAAATTAAAACTCTTTCATTCGAGCTGGAACTTTGCTGAAATAATCTAGAATACAGTAAGAACCACCCACTGGAATATCTTTTT